TTGTATCCCTGAAACTTGCCAGGCCAGGTTCTATGTAAGCTTTTTCTCAAATGTAAAGACATTGCTTTTTTGTCACCGAGCTCACAATTGAGTGAGCAGCACTTTTATTATAGATAGTGCAGACAGATGGGTAATTGTACTGAGTCTGGAGAAAATGACGCCAGGATTAGTGTGGTGTGTGTTGGGTGGAGAGATAATGAGTTGCCATTAGTGCTCAGACAGTAGAGCGGTTTAGATTTTAAGTGCAAGGTCACTGGTTAGATTCTCAAACCAGGCAGGAAAAGTCGGAAGAGAAAGTGAAGGACAAACCAAAGATTATTTAGTGAGCGGTATAGCATGGTATTGGTAAGAATGTACTGGAACTGAGTCATACAAAGAGAAGTAATAGTTAGTTAGGCAAATAGTATAATTAACAGTCATCATGCTGTCATCATCTTGGTATTAACTTAAACATTGTCTGCAAGTGGAGGAGCCAGCAAAACATGTTGTGTTGGTTTTATCTGGTTTAGTTGCATAACTTCAGTTTGACCCTCTTTCTGATAGTTATCATAATTATTTTTGCCATTTCATTTAGTTATCTTCTCAGAAATGAACCAGATGCTGAGATATAAACCTACTACTTTAGTCTTACAACCATTAAAATCAAGAAGGCCTCACAACCTTCCGTGTAGCTTTGGCAACCCATAGTGGGGGTCAGGAGCCCCAGGTTGGGAACCAGTGATTCAGACTTTACAGTGATAACAGACTTATGCAGATGAGCACCCTGCAGAGACAGCACAGGCTGATCAAACACCTAAAGAATGCTCCCACTCTGTCTGGTGAGCTGCCTGTTGCTTGTTGCTCCTGGTATGATTCATAAGCCTTGGGGCGTGGTGGGGTGGTGGGGTGAGGGTTCACCTGGTCATCCTGGGCCCGGAAGGCTATTGAAGCTCAACCATCAGCTCATTTTTAGTCTTGCTTCCAGCTGGTATTTAACTCATATGTTTTCCCTCTTTTGATTTGGCATCTTTCAACAACAACAGCACATATCTCACACATCATGCACTTAGCGCTACGAGCGACAATTACTTTCATTACTGATAAATACTTGATTTTGTTTTGTTTTTAATCAGTAATACATTCTTGAGGTCAAAAAGCAACAAATGCACAAAGCACTTTCCCGACATGGCGTCTTTTTGAATGACCACTATCGATTTATAATGACACAAACCAGAGAGAAATCCTAACATTTGAGAAGCTGGAAGCAGCAAATGTTTGGCATTTTTGATTCATTAATAACTCAAACAATTAATAGACTATAACATTTTTAATTCTTTAAGAAATCGGCTCCACATGCACTGCCCTCACTGCTGATTTAGCTCAATTTCACACTTAATCTTAATAACTTATTTCTGTGTAATTGTTTGTCCTTTGTGGGCTCCCTGTTTGTCACAATCTCTCAGTTAGTTTGCGACATTGTGTTCCATGTAATAATTATCTCTCCAACATAAACAAAGACAGGATATGACTCATATCCAGGACACCAGTGTGCATGTAAATATGCTGAGCCTTCTCACGTGGATCACAAAGAATCTGATGAAACCAGCGTTTATTCTTGGATTCACCATCTTTTATCACATCATTGAGATGCGTGAAAATGAAATCTCCGTCCAGTATAACACTCAGAGCCAGCGCTAAAATTAGATTAATTATCCACACCATGCCCTGGCACAGGGGGGCACGACCTGTATGAGTCAGCAAGGCCTGGGATGTTGAAGGATATTAGATTTAAGTGGCGATGAAAGGAGAGGCCTCCCCCGTGTTAACACAAATTATAACCTACATCTCCAATATCTCGTGGTGAGAACTCGGAGAAAACGCTGCTTCGCCTCCCCATGGCTCCAGTTGGATGCAAAGCACTGCAGGAGACACTAAAATACTTAAAGTCAAGTACTATGAAATTAGTCCAACTTCAGCTACAAATAACTGAAGTCAAGATAAGGGTGCTTATGCAGAAAATTGCTTAAGTTGTTGAATATCACTCCAAGAAGGAATCATCTTGAGCTTCCTACGATCTCATCAGTAGAACAGTTCATTGTTCAACGCTTAAAAATCCTCCTTTAGCCCATCTCCTCTCTTTCATCTCCTTTTTGATGAAAGGCTGATTGAAGTGGATTTAACAGCTGAAATCAATAGGACAGCCAGACTCACTTATCAGTCTGCTTCTCACTAAGAGCCGATATTTCTTATGTATTGTATTCTCAACATATGGCCGAACATCCACATCGATGCCGACCGCATTGATTCTGTGCTCTCTGTCAGGTCCCACCCCCGCCGAAGGGAGGGCTGCCAATCGACAGAGCCTAAAAATACCTCAGCCTTCATACTCCCTTCAATGGAGACTTAAGCCTTCCATCCAAATCAATATCAATAAAACCCTTCTAGGCAAAGGGTGGAGGTGGTCGGGTTTGTCATCACTGTTCAGGGGTAGAAGGTACAGTTTGGAGATGTACTTCATCTCAGGGGACAAGAAATGACAGCTCTGTACCAAAGTCGCTCCAAGCGATCGATTCGTGCAGGTTGAAGAAGAAACTACAGATGAGCTAAAAGTAAAGCTTGATTTCAGGATGCTATGTATCCATTTGGAAAGAAGAAATACGGCAGACAATTACTTATACTCTATATGCTCCTAGAGGTGTCTAAATGGAAAAATAAAATAAAGGCTGTAGAAAAAACTGTAAATGAAGATATAACTTTGCATTTCTGGGCCACATTGTTATTAAGTGGTGTATTTTTCTTCCCCTTGTTGATAACTAAATAAATGTGCCAGGCATGAGGACACATGAGACATTTTCCAGCACCTATTACAGATAGTACTGAGGCTGCTCTGTCCTGATATTGTTTCATTTCAGGTTTATTTCAGCAGGCCGTTCCACTCAGTTATGATACGTCTTTCAAGGGGAGTCCTCCTGGGTGAAGCTACACACGGTTCTGATACCAGAAAATGTTTTAGGCATCAGCAACACTAAATGTTTTGGTTTCAGTCCCCCTGAAGAGCAAGGGGCTCCTTTCTTAACTCGCCAGTTAGCACCAACATCAATGACAAAGAAATCAGCGCAGGGGGATTAACGTAGAACAGGTTTAAAGGAACAGACGACAGACCAGAATGCAATGCAGCCACGAGACATGCTAAGTGTTTTTTAGCTCGCTCTCTTGGTCCTGAAGGGTTTTTTTAGCCACTTGGAGGCAGCGAAGAGTTTCACTGACATGTCATCAAATGTTACGTTGATATAGTGAACTTGTTAGCAAACAGGAGTTCATTGACACGTAAATTAGGCCATTAAGATAACAAGTTACTCCTGAGGGGAAATATGTGGCTTTAAAGCAGCTAAATGCTCCGCTGTCTTCAACAGCTACTCTCTAACTGTGTCTGGCTGCTGTTTGGTGCTGAGCAGGGGTTTTTAGACATTTGTCTCTGAGAACAGCTGCCTGCTGTGACCCAAAAAAAGAGTGGTGAGAGTGAGGCAAAAACAGCTATGAGCTGAAACTTACTATTAAGCTCTGTAAAGCCGAGGGGAGCTGCAAATTCAGATGCTCGTTCTCTGTATGTTCATCAGAATGAGTGATCTGTTTCACACTGCGTCACACACATTGTTATAATAAAGAAGTCGATTATAGCCTCTTTAACTGTTAAATCACAGTAACAGTAAAATCACCCATATGTCTGTTCCGGAAATGACTCATAAAGGTTCTCTGTCACATTGATGATCAAGGTTAGTAAACCTACTTGGCTCAGATTAGGAAACGATCATCCTCCCTCAGTAAAAGAAACC